TTTGGATAGAGATATGAAGAATTAAAACCCTTACATGGTTTTTTTAGGGCTGTAGTAGAGGAGTTTTACCATTACTTACTGTCATGGTGACAATGGTTATCTGCTGTTTCCGATTTTCCCTCACTTCCTGTCTGGTAAAAACATTGTTTTCTAAGCAAAAAAAATGCTAGGAAAACCCTTTCATTTGGTAGTGTTTACAGAAACAGACACCTAATATGAACTTTGGTGCTTTTGAACAACTCATTAGTACTGGTGAGCATTCTGCTTCATTCTGTTCTACCAGACCCAGTAATTCCTCTGTTGAATGTTGGTATCTTACCTCACACCTGGCATTAAGTAGAAAAAGTGAGGCTGTCAATTACAGCCAGCATGTTGGATACCTCAATTCATATTCTTAAAGTCTCATGCCACTGTTCTCTGTAGGGCAGTAGGTGTACGTCAAAGGGCAGGGCTGTAGTCTTCTTAGGCTGCATTTGAAAAAAGCTGATTGAGCAAATGATAAAAGCAGCACTATATGTACATACTTGAAGAATGAAAAGGTTTTCTAAAAAGAGAAAAAAGGGATATAGGGCATTTTACCCAAACAATACATATAAACAATTATGGATAATAAAATAATTGACTGTATTAGTGCTACAAAAATGGGCCCATCTTCACTATTTGCATAACTTGAACAACATAAACAAGATATACAGCAGATTACTCAAAAGGAGCTCAAAGTTGAACAAGCTTTGATAAAGGCATTATTTTTAGTGCCTGGAAGACGGTTTTAAGATTTGTGAAGACCATATGGTCATTAGGCATTTCTATAGCGATCTCAAAAGTCCACAAGAAGCAGACAAGAACAGTAGACACTTAAAACAGCCACTGAGAGGGAGATGATTATTGGTTAATGGAAGACGACTGGTTACTTGGCACTTAACGGCTAATCAATGGGACCACAAATACCATCAAAACTGTACCATACAAGGATCAACACTAGAATGTACTGCAATGTGCCACATTCCTGGTTGAATGAAGTATAACGGCAGACACCTATAAGTAAAAACCCACCAATCACCAGTACTAGACTTTGCAAAAATATCATCTGGTCACATTAATACAAATACAACTGCACCAGTGAGGTTGTAAACTCAGAATGGGGTGTAGTGCCTTTGGTGTGAACTTGAAAGCAGCATTTGTAGAAGAAAATATCTGCATACCAACTGTTAACAATTGTGTGATACAATTATGTATGGATGGCATTTATACCAGGACAATACTTGAATCACAGCAGCCATGGACATCAACTATGTTCAGGCTAGTCCAATGCAGCACCAAAACGAGGTGTAGATATACATTTGTATGTATGTATGTGTGGGAGTGTGTGCTTTCCATTTATACAGTATCTTTATATATAACCAAAATACATATTTGGAGTCGTTCACTGCAATCTGTTAAACAGGTCACAATTTAGATTTCTCCAATCCCCTTAAGCTCATCACATTATTGTGTTACCACTTTTGTAAATCAGTGGAGAAAAGACCTCCTCTCCTCTGGCTTCAGGGGCACCGATGAGGACCCAATAAAAGTCACTTCTAAGATGCCTCAAAAGGTGACCATGGTATAGGACCAAAGCCATGGAATTTGGCAACAAATACTTTTCTTTTGCCAGTTTCATCCTGTAATTGAAGTAACTCCTACAATACTTCTTTGCTCTTGTCATTTAAGAAAGAGACCAAAACATTTCTAAAATAGTTATTAAAAAAATTACTCACATGGTAATTTAGCAGTAATATGTTAGACTTAATTTATTGGAATACCTTTTAAAGAAGGGCTTGTACTCATGGAAGCAGCACCCGCTCTGTTGGCCTTGTGTTAATTGGATTTGGCAGTGAGGAGGTCAAACAGGGATATTTATGGTGTCAACGTAGCCAAATGAAGCAGTCCACATTCATATTTACATGGGCCAGCAAGAAACAACGTTAATGCTTTATTCAACACTCTAGTGCCTCGAAGCACTTTTTTTCTCCTTTGGGCTTCAGGGAATGCTTACAAGGTGCCAGGGGCTTGCATAAATCTTTGTGCCTGTGTTTGGTATCACAGGTCTTTATAGAGCAATATTTGCTTCTAAACTAGCCAAATAGGTCCAATGCAGTTTTATGAAAACAGCCTTTCCAATAAAAAAACATACTTTTAGCAGTTAACGACACTTCAGAAGAGCAAAAAAAAATTAGGAACTGTGTATGGAAATCCCTCCTCTGCATGATATAGCTAAACATGTCTGAAACAGAAAAATTATGGGGTCGGTTCACAAAGCTAGCCGAAGAATCAGTTGAAGCTTCTGCTGATCCTTCGGCTAGTTTCGGTTGCGGGAGCCCTTCGGTTCAGTTGAACTGAAGGACTGCTGTACGGGCTATTCACTATAGCCTGTACAGCTCCCAAAATAGTTCAAGCCGTGATTTGTCATAATTGTGATGATTATGGCTTACAGCTCATGAAAACCCCAAGAACCCCAAATCCACAATCTCAGAAAATGAGAATATTACATGCAATCAATAAAACAAGGATTGTACATAGAACAATATCGGACCTCTGAAAAGTACAAGCATGCATATGTACTCAGTACTTGGTTTGGGCCCCTTTTGCAGCAATTACTGCCATTACTTTTGCACGATATTCTAATTATTCGAGTTTCACCTGTATGTGTCACTATTAATGGAAATCTAGCCCTGCCCTCTATGATATATCAATAATTACTTCTGGTTTGCTGTGTTGTCAGCATGACATGGTGGAGTGAGTATGCAGAGTCACATTATTTTAGATGATAGATATTGCTTTACATATTACAGTGCCTGCTTTGTTGTTACAAGGAGGGAAGCAGAAGTTAAAGATAACGTTACATATTTTAAAACAATATCCTGCTTTTTCCATTATACTTGAGCTGTTCTGTAATATTTTAACGCTTGCTGGTTGGAAGAGCATAGCTTAATATTGAAAGTTTTAATGAGATACAGTATAGAGACAAATATAAAATCATAAAAGCAGGACTGCAGAGTTTAATAGCCATAATTATATACATAATGGTATATGCTTACCAATGCGGAAAATGCTGTATTTTTTATTTTTACTGCATGACCTTTTTCAGTTCAAACTCTTTTGCATCATAATATGAAAAAAGCATGGTTTGCACTTTTCATTAACAACATTTTAACAAAGAAATAGGGATGTCTAGCAGTAAAGGGAAGTAATACAGTCACATTCAGAAACAGCAAGTGGGAAAAATTACACAAAATATTTGCAATGCTATCATTCATCCATTTAAATCAGCAGGTTTTTGGTTGGCTTGCTCTCAAGTTACATTTTAGAAACATACTGCATTTCACAGAAATAATTTTAAATCTGCTGACAGCAACATTGTGGGAAGAAAAGAGCCACATGTGGCCCATGAGCCACAGTTTAGGGACATTTCTGTAGGTGACTAGAGTTGGAGCATGTGTTCTCATTCTTGGTTATTTCCTTTAGAAAAAACTTTAGAAAATAAATTTGATTTAGTGAAAAGCAGGAGAAAAGAGGGCCAAGAAAGTATCTGATCTATTGTTATTGTTAAATTGACACATTGCTTTCATCCAGATTTCATAAATAATCCTTAGCATATTAACAGAAATTCCATTATAGGTGGGAAACATGATGTTTAGTCCATGTTTTCAAACTGTCCTCTTTTCGTAGCCATAGTTACTTTTTTTTAGGCTAACAAAAGGGCAAACCTTGATAAAAAAAACCTGACATAGTTTTTCTCAAGTCTAAATGTAGTTAGACTGTTTTGGATGAGGACTAAAGGCTGGACTTAATGTTATCCCAATTTTTTATTTGAATGTTGAAATACATTTTAGAAACCTAAATGTCAAATACAGAACATAACAGCAATGTGATTGCTGTGCAGTTAACTGCAAGCTGGCCTTTATGTTTGTACTTATTAATTTATTATGTTTAATATTTACAAACCAGAGATGTCTAAATGAATACAGACAATATTTCCACATTGTTTGGCCAATACAAATTATTTCATAGCAAAATAAGGGTAGATGGTCCCCCAAACCCCCTCAATCAATTGTAGTTAACCTAATGTGGAAGTGGGACATGACATTCTAGTTTGGGCATGAGTATTAGCTGGAAAATCAACCTTTCTATTCAAAAACAAGATCATCCTGTGTATGTGTGTAACTTCTGGGGTGTCCCATAATCCTTAAAGGCCAGGACACTGTGTAAATACCAATTTACAGAAGAAATTTTCCACTGCAGTATTGAGTCTTATACAAGATAGGTTGGATGAGTATTTAATAATGAGGCGAGAAAGCCAGGAGGTCAGATCCACCATCAAATTTACTGCTCCAAGTCACATTTACACATGCGCTTAATTTACATTCCTGTTGCAGGGTTTATGGTTATGTTGTATGGAAAGAGTTGCATAAGTCCATGCATACAGCAAACAGAGTTAGGATTATTTGGGAGGTAATTTGATAGAATATTTCAATCTGAAATCCCATTTTAAATGTGAAAGAACAGCATAATTCCTGAGCTTAACAAAAACATATTTGGTTGAATATGGTGCTGGTAAGTCTAGTTTACCATAAGCTTCAGGTACTTTTTTTAGTTACAGCTATTTTCAGCTGTCTGAAAATCTAGCAGGCAATGCACTTGGTGTGAGCGAACTATTAATATTCCTTAACCAGTTTGGTTTTTCCTTTATTTCATGTTTTGTTGGTTCCCTTGTGCTTTTTATTTTCTCCTCATACCAGGCTCTGTGGCGGTTTTATTCTACTGATTCCAGTCGAACATACCTGACAGCCACCTGGCGATTTTATGAAAGTATTCTTCCACCTCTCAGGCATGTATCAATGCTATGAATGATGAATAAAGCCATGACTTGTACTGGTTTACTAATCTGCTTTTCAATTTTGTTTTATCCCCTGCTCCCTTCTGCCTTGTTTTTCTTTTTTTATTATATATCCTGCACGTAGTGTGTATGGCGTAGTTATGCGGCTGATGAGAAATCGGTTTCCATTGCTACCTGGAAGCCTCATTTGAAGGCCTTGCATACCTGCAGCCCTACAAAGTAGGTACAAATATGGCAGCTGGTGTTGTTCGTAATGTCTGTTCAACCTCTAGAACCAATAGTATTTATGTAGTTTGTCTCCTGATTATTTTCTGTGTCACGGTCATTATTAAACATGAAATAATGTACAGACTATAATCTCCAGGCTCCAAATTAAAATCATTAAAGAATCATTATGTATGGCTTAAGGCAATGTCTAAAAGCATACAAGAAAACATTTTGCATTAGGCTTTAATAAGCAGCCTGCTATAATATCAGCATATTCAAAACATGTTCTGACACTTGTGTGTCTTCGTTAGATGACTGGGTTTCAGGTTTTTGGGTTAGATTTTGGGTCAGTGCTAATTCATTTTGTATGATTTATTGCTTACTTTATAGTGCTTAGACTTGCTAGCCAGCAAAATACCAAGCCAAAGCCCATGTGTTAAATGCTTCCGTTCTATCCCATGGAAGCACCAACATAACGATATATAGAGCAACCATAAAATTAAGAGCTTACCTGGCGGATTTTGCACTCCGTAAAGGTTTAAAGGTGCAGCAATGCATGTACATATGCAGACCTCACATGTATGTGTGTACCAAAGACAGTAAACAGACAAAATGGCAAGCAGTCAATTATTTCATAACTATCTAGGCAGGTACACAGTGGGAATGACAATTCGCTAAATTCCCCAGTCATTTCTCTTTTTTAAAGGCGTTACTCCATAAGTGTCAGCACAAGAGAATAATTGCTTCTGTGTCATGTCAGACATGACATATATCTGTGTGTGTGTGTTTGTGTGTATGTGTGTGTGTGTGTGTGTGTGTAAAACTGCTGATTTATAGCACAGCTATATTTAAACCCATAGCACTAAGTAGAATGCATGGACATTTCCATTGGCAAATATATGGTTGAACCTCATATTAAAACTACATTTCCCACTTTGTTTTCTTTTTCACTGTTATAATTACGATGACTGTCATTATTATCATTACTGCTACTGTTGTTCATTTGTTTCTAGTAGTTTTCAACGTAGCTTTTCACTAATTTTAAGCAGCTATGCAATCAATACGCTATGACTAACATTAAGGATTAGTTGTATTTGATTTCAATGCGCTAACTCAATGTAGGAACATTAACTTGGAGCCTGGGGATAAAAAAAGCATTTGGAACATACTTCCTCAGTTCTGGGAAGCAAAATTGTTGAACAAACACAATTATACTTTTGTGCAACTTGCATAAACAAATGTATATAGCATAACTGCAATATAAGCAAATACCGTGTTTCCCCGAAAATAAGACACTGTCTTATATTTTTTTGGGCTCAAAAAAACACACTAGGTCTTATTTTCGGGGTAGGTCTTATTTTTTTTTTTAAATGTACAACAATCCACACTTATTCATGTACAAAAAATATGTTGATCAGGGCAATCAGGGGTGCCGTACCTTTCCAAGAGCAATTTGCTAACCAATCGCTGGCCAGAATGAGCGGAACGCACTTTCACTATCGATTCCTCACAGGCGGAGTGCATTGGTATCACTCCGCCTGTGACAGGAGCCGGCGCTATAGAGGAGGCATCGGCTTATGCAGCTCTGCTCCCTCCGCTGCCGCCTCGCTTCCTCTAGCGCTGGCTTCGTTGGCACCGCCGATTCTCTCCCGCCTCTCCTGTGACTCTTCAAGTTCCCCCTTATGCCGACCCTGGGAATGGTCACAACTAGGTCTTATTTTCGGGGTAGGTCTTATATTTTAGCAATTCCCAAAAATAGTACTAGGTCTTATTTTCGGGGTAGGTCTTATTTTCGGGGAAACAGGGTAATGTAGAGCCCTCTACTTCTATATTCCAAAATGTAATACGAGAGACAACTCTAAATTGACCTAAATCTACTTATCACTGCAGATTTTCTATTTAAAAGTCTACAGCTTTCTGTAAAAGTATGTGTCAGCAATGCATTTTGCTTTTCTGAGTGCTTTGCCAGTCTGCTGTGGTATGTACTGAGCATGTTGCATGAGGACTGTGGGAAGAAGATTTGCCATGTGTGCTGCTTCTTGAGCTTTGTGCCTGCTACATTACACTATGTTTTGTGTATTATAATCAATTAATACCTTTATTTTCAGTTATGCATTTGTCAGATGCATTGTTTATATAACACAATAATAATTAATACTGTTTGCTTAATTACATTTGTTTCTTTTTCATTTACTAATACCTGAAGGAAAGAACAAGGCGAGACATCTGGCAGGTTTGTATTAAGATCATTTATTTCATCTTTAAATTGTACATAAAAAGAAACACAAATAAGAGAACTGATTATGTGCCATGTCTTATGATGAAATATGAAACACCTGCACTCTGACAATAGCAAGAATGTTTCTAAATATAAACATTTACTTGATTTAGTAATCTGAGAATGAGTGCGAGGCGAGGCTTTAATAAAGGAATTGAATATCTTACCTCAATAAATTAAGCGAAGATTCACTTTAATTACCCAAACATGTGAAAAGTTAATTCCTGTTTATTTATTTATTTCATCTGCACCTGATTGGGTATTCAAAATAAACACAGCAAAAATGTTTCGGGTGAAGATTCTCGACTCCTTTAGTAAATCAACTCCTCTGTATCAGAAGAAGAGTGAGCATGCCCTTTGTATATAAAAGGGCAATACAATTTTACTTGATACATGTAGCCAGTCCTCCATCCACTCACATGAAAGCAATTAATTTACACTGTCAGTATATTAATCCAATACTCCATTTTCAGCCTACTATCACACTGAAAATACAAAAAAACTAAAATATTACTGTTACCAAACAACAGATTAAGGAGATACAAGCATTTGTTTGGATACTGAGTACTGTTAATACCACCTCCATAAATGGTCAAAAAGACTATCAAACGGTATGCTGCTCTATATTTTATGTAGTATGTAACAAAATGAAACTATATACTACTATATATCACAGATGAACTGTCAAGCCACAATTATGGAATCTATTGTGTCCAGTGTTTGGCATGTACAGGGTTGGGTTGCAAAGTCACATAGCAACTGGGCTCCCATATTACACAGCATTTGCAGCAGGGTTTCTGTATATATTATTTTTCCTACTAAAACCTGAATGCCATTTCTATGTGTGCAATGCTTGTGTATGTACAGGCAGTTTATGCTCTCCTATTTAAAAGAACCATAAGCCCAGGGCTACATGGGCAAATAAATCTCCTTACGTGTGGGAAATTTCAACATTTTGCAAACTAACCAGGTGCTGTCAGCATGTGTGATATGCACGGCTAATACACTTGACAAGACATACAGGTGAAACTCGAATAATTAGAATATTGTGCAAAGTTCATTTATTTCACTAATGCAACTTAAAAGGTGAAACTAATATATGAGATAGACTCATTACATGCAAAGCAAGATAATTCAAGCCGTGATTTGTCATCATTGTGATGATTATGGCTTACAGCTCATGAAAACCCCAAGAACCCCAAATCCACAACCTCAAAAAAGTAGATTATTACATGCAATCAATAAAACAAGGATTGTACATAGAACAATATCGGACCTCTGAAAAGTACAAGCATGCATATGTACTCAGTACTTGGTTTGGGCCCCTTTTGCAGCACTTACTGCAATTACTTTTGCACGATATTCTAATTATTTGAGTTTCACCTGTACAGTATGTAAAAAAGCAAGAGAGCAATATATAAATGCTGGTACCAAAAACAACATACATGGGAAAGAACATAAGCCCCTGATTAGCTGCTATGATCAACAGCTTAATTTAGGACTGGACTTGGGGGCAGAAAGTCATTTTCTGCCACTAGCCAGCACTAACACTATGTTGGACTGGTAGCCCTGAGTGGAAATTCTTTATTCAGACACCGATCAAAGCAGACCCCTCTTTCACTGACACATAGTGCAGATTATATAACTACCTGCTCCACATTCACACCTGTGGTCACAGAGTCTGGCAAAGGAAAATCTTCCAGCACTATCTTCCTTTGCAGCTGATGCTGGAAGTTATGAAAAAAATGGTTGTGACAAAAAGTCATGTCCATTCCAACACCCACCGGTCACCATGCCAATCAATCAATGAGGCGCCATGTGCATTGTGCATTTTACCATGAGAGGGCTAGTTGGTTGTGTTTGCCCCCAGGCTAAAGTTTCCCAGTCCTTGTGTAATTTTACTCCAGTATTGTGACAGTGTTAATAAATCAACTTCACTTAGGCATGGATTTCTATTAAATGTGTGATAGCTGGATTAAAGATCTTGGCATTGTTTTTACACGCCAAGAAAAAGATTGACTGTTTCAATATTCTCAGTATACTGTGTATCAAATGAAATTTAGATTGTAAAGGGATGCATTAATGCAAGTGTGGCTAGATTACTGGATGAGCATACTGCTTTAAATTTTAGACAAAGTAGGTTTGATGTCCACAGAGTTTATTTATTGTGCTCTAAAAGAAATGTATGGTTCTGAAATATTTCACATAGCCTAGAGATACAGTAACACTTTGCTTTCTTCACTTTTTCATACAATTTTACACCTTTTTTCAGTAACAGTTTCTCATCTTAATTCTTAAGGTATATCTAAATCCACAACTTGAGTTTTGGATACAATAGGGGATTGTTAAAACCCCTTTGATGTTTCAAAGTGTCAGTACTTGAAAGTAGAGTTACATCTTCACAAACCTGTCCTGCAAGTCTGAAACTGATTCGTGGCTGTGGAAATATCTTCAGCTCTTACTAACTCATTGATACATCAGACTCTAGGCAGGTCGCTGGTCTTGAAAATCTATCCAGCTGGTAGAGTAGGAACTCTTGACCTGCAAAATCTTTCTAAGTATTGAAGTCAAAGGATACGCGTGATAGATAACTAGTATCTCGTGGAGGGTTTTGGAATGGAAGGTATCCTTTTGTTATATTCACCACTGTCTCAAATCTTTCTTATGCCAATCCACAGCACATTTTATTTACACTTTGTACAACACTTTTTATAAATCTCACTGTTAACTTTATCTGATATTTATACATTCTGCAATCAACACATGAATCTTATTTTTGTATTTTTCTCACATATTTAACTAATATTATGTGTTTCCTTTGTGTGTAATATCTAAAGATATTATTTTCTATTAGTGTCTTTGCATGCTGTATATGTGTGTGTGTGTTTTAGAAGCACATAATGAGGCCTAACCCTTGTCCTAATAGTATTGTGCCTAGTAACCTGATCCTCTATTTCCCCTCACTCCTAGTAAGCTTTATAGTAATACTCAGAAGCTCTTCAGGATGTACAGCACTCGGAAGCCTAGGTATTTAGCATCCTGTCTGCTCATACGATATCTGAGAATGCCAGCTGATAGAAGATGCATGATGGGTGATTCCCTCTCCCTTGTGCTTTGTAATCTCTAATCTGTTCTTTGCATTCTCCCCCTGTGGCCTTACTTTGGATTTTGTGAAACTCTTAACTGCTTGCAATGATCACTGCTGCTTGCTGCCTGTATATTCTGTATGCTGGCAATTTGCTGTTGCCATTTGGCAGACATGCGGTTGTCTTAAAAATAGAATTGAATATTACAACTGCACACATGAGTTTATCTGAACCGAGTTGCCCTCATGTTTCTGTAACTGAAACAAAACTCCTCTTCATATTAAGAGCTAAAACAGATACTGAACAGATGGGATATTTAAAGCAACTGGTATCCAGATGGATTAATAACAGGATAGACCCGTACCGTTTGTAAAGCAGCAGTTTGTCTTCTGCAGATAATAGATTTATTTCACTCTGAGCTTGTTGTGTGCAGGTTTGGCACCCTATGTACCAGCATATGACATAGCCTGCAAAAATATTCTATAGCAATCCATAGACATAAAGTTATGCATCTTGCCTGCAAACAGGGGAAACAGCTGTTTTTGAGTTAACCAATTATTAATTAAAAAAAAGCATTTGATATCACTAGCAATTAGTAAGAGCACTGGCACAATCACACATTCACTAAATCGGAAGCTCTGGCCATTATAAGATCATGGCTGCCTTATCATAACAAGCTTGATTGTGGATCCTGTGCATATCACTGCTATATATGTTTTTCAGGTGGTCATTCCTTTTAGTAGTGGATACCATAAACCCTCATACACTTTACTGGGATAAAAGTAAGGGTTGCAGCTTAAAACCCATTCCGCAGCTAGCGTTGATTGCTCCCACTAACCCATATATTTTTAACACAGATCTCTGAATCCAATTTAAAAATAATAATGTGGCATTCTTATAACTCTGTGACGATTACATTACACTTACATATTTTATATTAACATATTTAGGTTCAGAAAAAGCATTTTGTTTTACTTTGTATGTAGTAGGGAAGGTTGAAAACTCCTGATGGGTTTTTACAGCAATGCAGAACTTTTCCTCACCTCTCTGGCCTGCTGTCAATGGTTTCACCACACAGGAAGTGAGGGAAAATCTGTGACAGTGACGCAGACATAAATAAAATCTGACAGGGTTTCTAGTCCTCTACTTTCCTAAAGGAAAAACATTATTTCCACTCTATCTAAAACTAAGTAAAACATGTAAAACATGTTTTGGCTAGACGTACACTATAAAAAGGAAGCTGTGCCCAAAAAGGCAGGCAGAGTGTAAAGGACTAGTAATCAGTATTACCTGTGGTCACATCAACTGGCTTTTCTCAAAAAAGGTCTACTTTTACAGGCAACATAGGTAAAACTTATACCCACAACTCAATGAGTGACTCATGCCGCTTCTGCCTTCTCCCTGTCTGCTTTATTTATAGGGGGCTATACAGAGATCCAATTAAAGACAGCCTTGAAACTGATCTCTCTCTGAAAAAACTGACAATCTTTTCTTACTCTAATGTGATAGGCACACCCTGTATTAAATGTGTATTGGTAATGTATAGACTTTGTATAAATAGTAATTAACAAAAGACACAAAACATCAGTTTTCTATAGACTTTGTAGAATAATATTAAAAAAATTACCACAAACCATTATTGTTTTTTAGTTTCCTTAATAATTTATAGCTTAATTTGTAATTTCCACTAACAAATGCAATGTTGATATCTGCAGTTATTCGATACAGGAATTATTTTTGAATTTAAATATTTTTGAGCTTGTTAGTCACTATTATGAGTCTTTGTTAAGCCTACAAAATGTCTGCTTCCTTTGTAGATACGTAGTGCTATACTTTTATAATGTATCTGCCATAAGGTACAAAAATTAA